CACGGGCATGCAAACCCCATGTTCCTGTGAGGGGGGGGTGGGGGGGCAGCGGGGGTCTGGCCGGCAGACAAGTGTCTCTGCGCGGTCATGGTGACCTACAGACGGCTGTCCTCTGGAACACATCTCGCCCCATTCAGCTGCTTTTCCACTCGCTTCTCTTCATGTTTTCCATCTGTTATCTTTAAATGCACTCAATAATTATGATGCTATTGTGGACGTGGACTAGAATCACATCTTCAAGCAACATGATTAATCAATGGCTGAGCTGAATATCATTATTTTTCACATCTGAACTTCTATTGAGGTTTATCAAATGAAGCTTTGAATGTTATATGTCATTGTCCTAGAAAGGTAATAAAGAACTCCTTGAACAAAATCTTAAATTTGATTAAATCATTCTTTGGATAACGTTTAGCTAACGTCTTCAATTAATAAAATCATCACTGAGTCCCTTTTATTTTGTGCGGGAAGCAGGAGCAAACAATTGTTTTGATCGCAACAAAAATGCTTAACTTTTGGACATGGCATCAGAAATGAACAACTTTTGGGCATTACGGGGAACGTTTTGTTCACTACTTCAGAGTCGGAAACAATCCTAGGCTGAAACCTAACTCTAATCCTACACATATTATAGTAATACTACTAATATTAGTGTAGCCTACTCTGTCTGACATTTCTGAAACTCTGCAGAAATACAGGCTTTACACTAAAGTGGCAGACAGGTGCTAAAGCGTTAATATGGCCCAAACAATTCAGAGCGAGAAACACGCTCCACTTTAAAAAACGAGGCAAAATAAACTTGCCTTGTTTTGCATCTTTTTTGAATGTGCAGTCTCATAATGGAGATGTTTTGTGCCGTTTTAACAAGTTTGCACCTGTCGGCCACCGTAGAATGCTGATTTAGAATGAGTGTTCAACGTTATGAATCAAGCATAAAACTATTCTGTAGAACCCTAGTTGAAATTCAAGATGGAGATGTCTGTAAATCCTCACCTGCATGAGAAAGGTGTAACTTATAAAGTGGCCACTGAGTGTACAGTCTAGCTTAAGATTCAGACTGAACATGTGAAATCAGAGGCCAAGTGAGCACAGAAATAGAAATCACATGTAGAGAACTGAGAGAGCAGACGGGAGTTGAGTGCAAGAGAGAGGGATGGTGATGAGTGTTAGAGTGAGAGAAAGAGAAATTCAGAGAGTGAATTAGGCGTAGTCCAAAAATACGTTTCCCTCCACTTTTAGCGACTTCCTTTCCAGAGTTTTGAAATGGTAATGCTTCTGCTGGTATTTGCATAATGTGCCTTTCCTCATCCCCCTTTTTTCCTCGGCTCTCTTCTCTTCAAATTGCTCTTCTCCTCCTCTTCCTCTATCCCTAACGGCACCCACCTCCCCCCTCCACCACCACCACCACCCATCCATTCTATCATTGCATTTATTTTACCTACACCTCCCTCTCTCAGGTTCTTAAGTGCTCATGGATAATTGACAACTCTAAATAAAGATAGGATGTTCAGTCAGGAAAACAGAAGGCAGCCAACAGGTCTGCCACTTCCCGTGTTAACAGCTCTCCACTCCAATCCCTTGCCGCCTCGTGTTCTGCAAAGCCTTAATATCAGCGCTTTGCAGACAGAAAGTGGACGTGCGCACAAAGCATTAAGGCTAAAAAAGTAAAAAAAGACGTTTGTCACGTTTCTTGACGATTGCCCACGGCGCACACTGATGAAAGAAGCCGTGGATAGAATAGCAAAACCACTTCTGGTCTACATTATCTGACACTTCATTTCCCATCCTCTTCTCCCAATTTGCCTCCCTCCTTCCTCATCACTTCTCTCACCTTCCCCTCCCTCCTCCTCCTCCTCACTCCCTGCAGTGTCTGTGCTCTGACAGTTATGTGTGAGTGGAGCGTGGGCTGCTGCTAATTTGTGCAGAGTGGGAGAAAGCTGTTTTGGCTCGGGGAGAAAAGAGCTGAGTTTAGGCTTAATGCTGGGATGGATGGACAGACGTGGCAAACACACACAGACACCAACAAACACACACACTCACACACACGTGTTTGTCGTTCATTTACTCCCACTCTCCTAATGTCACGAGTGCATTCACAGATACAAACAGATGCTCAAACCCACATTGACATCAAGCGTGGAGGTGACTCCTAAAAGGTGCTGTCTTCTGCTCCTCTTAAAGAACCTCCTCCTGCCCAACCTGTCATCCTGCTTAATATGCTCCCAAAGCTGTCACCACCATCATCATCATCATCATCATCATCCTCCTCTCTTCCTAGTTTTGATTCCGATTGATCAGCTACTTTTGAACGAAAATGCACTTTAAGGTTACCAGCCTTTATCGCCATTGTTGCCGTATCACTTCCTGTGTTTAAATGCACTTCACAATATAGGACAAACAGAACCATGCTCACAGGAAGTGTTGTTGTTGCTCTTGGCACCCGGTTAATTAATTCTAACACATCTCACGAATGTGTTAATGGAGCATTGTACTGTTCTTATTCCAATAAAATGCTGTTGTCCTTTTTTTGGCAGGCATTTGTAGCATTTAGTTATTATTAGGGCTGTAGCAAACTCACAATGATTAAAGTCGTATTTAATGAGTCCAGTGATATGACTGTACACAGTGACGAGCTAGTTCAGTGAACTCAACTTGAGTCATACTAAATTGCAACCTTGCCTTTCACTATACTGCACATTGGGAAAAAGTCTTTTTTTATGGGACATGAAACTTTTGACGATAATCATTTTTAATAGAATACATTAATGTCATGTGAATGATATATGTACAGCGCTTCAGAAATCATTTCTGTTCACCTACACTTTTATATTTAGTCAAAATCATTTGCCAAAAATTTGAAAAACAACCATTTAACAGAATAAAAAATACATGACGGATTTTGAAATAATTTTTCTATTTTGATTTTTGACAATCATGTAGTGAAAATCTGATATTGTGTAAGTACTGGTGCAAATGATACTTGAAAAACTGTTAATACAATTTGTCCATACTGTTTTTGATCATTGTAATATATGAGAGGGATATTTGATCACTTTGACGAGTGAGTCACTGTATACATTTGAACAAAAGCAGAGAAGACTAATGAAATCCATTCTATTGAATAACCAGTCCTACTTACAGTACAATATTTCTCTCAATATTAATGTTATTTGTTAATATGTTTATGAAATGCCAGATGCATTCACGTGTAAAAACCATAAAAATGCTCCTTGTGAACATAAAATAGCATTAACGGATTGAATTGACAATAAATCAGATAGAACCCAAATCATTCCAAGCACATTACACGTCCTGCATATGTTCCAATGTGTTATCTGCGCAAACGTTGGTCTGTGTGTTTGTGCAGTGTGTCACTGAAGCACTGAAACATGCTATTAGCAGGCTAAGACTCCAGGCCTTGGCAACCATATCAGTGACATCAGTGCTGCATCAGCATTGCATCCCGCCACATGGGACAAACATACCGCTTGTGGGTTGATGACATGCTGATGTGGCGTGATCATCCCTCGTTCCTGTCAACAAGAGCGTGAAGTTCCAACAAAATGTCTCCTTTGCACGTGCACATTTTCGTGGGCGCTGGCATGTGCGGTGCGAATGCTAAAAAGGAGCCGGCCACTGAATAATACATTGCCATGTACTAAAAACAATGTGCGACGTCAGCTGGTGGACATGATTGCATGTTCGGGAGTAAATAATAAGTTTGCTCATAAACAGACACTGACAGGGTGTGTTCTTGAGCCGTACATTAGTCAGCTAGGCGACGCGCTATCACCAAATCCCCAATTGAGCATTGATGTTCTGTAATTAGCCGTTGTGCATCACGCAGCAGTAAACCAAAGACATGACTGCATCGACCACTCCTCAGGAAAACTCTCACTCAGAGCTGAGTAGGGAAGCTACAGACTTCAGTACTGGTAAAGATACTGTAGAGTGGCGCAGTAATTGGACCAAAACCCAGAAATGAGTTGGCATGTTAGCACTTCTGGGTTCCCTCAATGTTACTTTTAAAATGTTTGAGTAGGATTTTCACGTTTTGTTCTGAAACATAAAATACATCAGTAAATACCCAACTTGTGACTGTGATCTGTGGTTAACCACGGCATACAAGATCTTCAAGTTTTGTTCTAATGGTCAATACCCCGCTGTCTTAAGGGACAAAATGAGTTTACCCTACATCCTGTTGAACATTAGCCAGCTTTAGTGGGCGGTGGTGGCGAAGTCGATAGGGACTTGGCTTGGCAACTGGAAGGTCACCAGTTCAAGTCCCGGCAAGACCAAGTGCTACCGAGGTGTCCCTGAGCAAGGCACCGTTCCCCACACTGCTCCCCGGGCGCCGTTCAAAATGGCAGCACACTGCTCCTAACACTAGGATGGGTCAAATGCAGAGAAACAATTTCCCCACGAGGGATTAATAAAAGTCCATCTTATCTTAGTTATGTTGACATGAAGTTATGTTAGCTGTTTATTTCTTGTGGTTGCATTAGCACTTCAACTATTATAAAATATGTAGCTATTGTTTGCCTTAAACCTTATTTTCTGGAATATTCCAAAATCAAATGGAAGAATTCCACTGATTTTTGTCGAGAGCTCTTGCGGTGATAACTTCCGGGCGGCCTACGAACATACGTCATCACTGAACCACTTTATACCAGACCGAAATAAGTCAGTTCAAATGCAGTGGACACACACACACACACACACACACACACACACACACACACACACACACACACACACACACACACACACACACACACACACACACACACACACACACACACACACACACACACAACACACACACACACACACACACACACACACACACACACACACACACACACACACACACACACACACACACACACACACACACACACACACACACACACACACACACACACACACACACACACACACACACACACACACACACACACACACACACACACACACACACACACACACACACAACGTACCAAAATGGTTGAGTGCTCCTGGTTTTAGGAGTTCCACAGGCTGCTCGTTGCTGGTCCATCCACCTGTCAGAGAGGAGGAAAAGGAGAGTTAAGGATAGTGCTCAGTACAGCTGAATAGATTCAAACCATCAACATTTGTGTCCTGCTCAAAGGTAAGAGAGGTATGGATTTATATAGAGGCTAATAGAGGGTGAGTGGGAACAAAATAAAAAGTGACCAGTTCAAAGCAGATGTGAACAGAAATACGTCTTTTTAAGAAAGTTGGAGAGGAAAAGAGAGAGATAAATGACAAGCAGACAAATCCACGGTGGCTGAGTTTATAATCATTTAAACCTTGAAAAGTGGCTTACTGAAATACATCTCGAAATATTTCATAATGATGTCATGACTATGCAGACTTATTTCATCTATCTTTTGGATTTGCATGTGGGTAGTTATGAAATGAGTATTAAAAAAAACCCTGTAAATTGTCAAAACGGATAAAAAAATATGTATGACTAAAAAAGAAAAATCACAGTCCTACTTTAGAGTGACAAACATTTCGGTGTTGTAACAATGCTTTCTTTCTTCAGTTGTCTCAGACATGTCTTCTTACAAATGAAGATAGTTGCTTTTGTTGATAAGTGCAGTGATGTACAACTTAAATTCCTAAAAGGGCTTTTCTTTGATAGTCCAACCAGGAAACATACTTATCTAATATAATATTCTATAATCTGCTCTTCTTACATTCCCAGTCCTCTGCACTACTTGTCATATCAAGTCAGATGTTCTTCTTGCATCAAAGCAGCTCCATTAACATCAACACTCATTCAAAACAAGATTAGAGAATGCTTAATTTAACATAAAATGACGAGTTCATTTAACAAAAAAACACCAACCGAGTATAGTATGACGCATTGAGAAGCCAAGCCTTCAAACTAATTGAATAATCGTCTTTTCAGAGAGAAGATACAGACCCGCGGTATATCCGTGCTACCTTGAACTACTGTACAAAAAGGTGATATAATAGTCTTTCATGGCTTGATCTGACCTTGGTTTGGTCTGGACAGTTGGTTTTTTTCTGTGTGTGTGGGCTTTGTGCTTCTGCACATTGGGATTGAATAGACATAAGAAAAAAAGGCAGTGCTGACCTTCAGCTTTTATATCAGGTTGCTAATATCCACATCAGATTGATCGTACGGGAAGTTTGAGGTGCAGAAAGTAGAAAGACAAGTAACAACAATGTTAATACATGCATCACAATAGAGGCTTTTTTGTAGCATTGCCCCAGCTCCCTTAACTCAAAGCGATTGGATATTTCCATTGGACAATGATAGAAAATAAGAGCTATGGCAAACATACATTGGATAGTTTCATCATATTAACATAACTTTTATAATATGTAAAGCCTAAATTAAAATCGTCAAAAGTAAATAGCCAAGATTTGGCTATAAACATCACCGTCTTTTTTCCAACATTGCTTCCAACTTAATGCAGACTAGTGTTTGGCGTGGGTTACATTGGCATGTACTGTAAGCCACTTAAAATCTGAAAACACTTTTGATTAGTACTAGCGGGGTATATACTGATATCATTTATGTAATAGTAAAAAAATAAAAATGATAAAAATCTTGTTTACTTGCGTCTGATTCCAGACCTTAAATCAGAAACCTCACCATAACGTCATTCTAAAGGAAAACGTTGTCTAAACAAAAGACACCAGAAGTACTATATGCTTACTCGTCTTCGGGTTATGGACTCGTGTTCTTTTTTTAATACATTTGTCAAATACCAATTCTAAAAAAACTGACTGTTGAATTGGTGCCAGTTCTAGTTCTGCACAAAATAGTTTGTTTGGCTGTGGCAACAACACTTCAGGTTTATTAAGAAGCAGAATTCAAGTCTCTGCCTCGGCTGTGCTCCAAGTGAAAATTAGAGTGAATGTACTTTTTTATAAGTGTTTATGTACAATGATGACGAGCTTGCATGATACAGGTCTCTTCTTATTCTAAGTGCTTTGTTGTTTTATGTTTTTCACAATCTTGTATCAAGGAAACAACAGAGTGGCTTAGTTGTTGAATGTTGAAGAAATCAAAGTTTCAAGGATAACTTCTGTGTTTTATGGTCTTTAGCTACTTTGAACTGAATCATCAAGAATCAGTGCAGATCTCCAACACTAACAAGCGTGTGTGTGTGAACTCCCTTAAACATGCGTAAAGCTGAAAATCAGCCCTTCATAGTCACTGTCTTTATTTTGAATCCAATGTGATGGAGTGCAGCCAACAACATCAAAAGATATCAGTGTACTAATACTCTCTGACTCTACTGTACACACGGAGCAGACTATTATTAGCCTGCTGGTCTGATTCCTAAGAAGCCCGCAAACATACATGTGAGAGCGTTGCCAAGGATACCATCATGTAGAAGTTGTGGCTCTTGTGTGACAGTGGCAGGCAGCAGACAATCTTTGGCTTAGGTTTTATTATCTAGCTTTTTCCCTGAATTCAAGCTCTTTTGTTGATCAAACTAGTAACTGCTCCCAACTGCTTCAGCGTACATCGGTTCATCCTCGTGATTGACAGCTGGTACAAATGGCAATTATCAACGCTTTCACGAAGCAGACTTTTTTTTCACAGTCACATATTTCAAACTTTGCCTGAACTCAGTGGGTGTGACAGCATGCTGCCTTCTGAGATCGGTTGGGAACGTGGGCTCTATGAGCAAATAGTTCCCAAGTTTAAAACGGACAAACAACTTTCTCAGAAGAGGCAACGCTTACAATTCAAGTATTCCACATGTAAACATCAGGATTCTCCATCGCCGTCACCCCTGAGCCGGGGGAAAGTTATCATGGCAGAAAAGGAAAATGTGAGAAGGGACCATGTGCTGCGTCACGCATGAACGAGCAGCCGCACATGACATACCCGCCGCATTTTAGTTTTTCTGGGTTGCTAGGCGCTATTTTCAGCCCAAGCAGACTGCTCCATGATTAATACATGATGGAGGGGAGGGGCAGAATTAAATATTCATAACACGCGCACAAACACACACCAAATGCATACTCTTGAATTCCATATTCTCGTAAAAGCCTGCTTTCCTTTGTTGCTTTAACATAATAGCTTTTTTTATTGTTTGCCAACACAGAAAACAGGTGGATGTTGAGGTGAGACCTAATGGAGACTTTCTCCGTGTGCGTGTGCGTGTGTGTGTGTGTGTGTGTGTGTGTGTGTGTGTGTGTGTGTGTGTGTGTGTGTGTGTGTGTGTGTGTGTGTGTGTGTGTGTGTGTGTGTGTGTGTGTGTGTGTGTGTGTGTGTGTGTGTGTGTGTGTGTGTGTGTGTGTGTGTGTGTGTGTGTGTGTGTGAGTAGGATGGCAGATGGCAGAAAGATGACACCAGAGCTGTATAGGCGAGAGACAGGCCAAGCAATCATACACACAAAGGGAGAGTTGAAAGTGTAAGTGAGTGAGAGTGTTTTGCATCTTCCCTAATGGCCACCATCTTTATTTTGCCCTCCTTAAACCCTTGACGAGAACTAGCGTCATGATAAATAGTTAAAAGAAAGAGAGCGTGTCAGAAAAGCGTGTGCGGTAGATGTGTATATTTATCTCTATGTGTACAGGAGTCGTATCTCATGGAAAAGAGATATGTTTATGGCGTGTCCACCCATGAATGTGCAGACTGTGACCTCTGATGCGTCGCGAGGAAGACAGGTCAAGAGCTCTCTGCCTTAACACACAATGATGAGAGAAAATCTCCATGGAAACCACGACAAACAAATATGCAGAGGGAGGGAGGGAGTGAGACTCTTATGAGTACGGGAAAGGAGGAGTGTTCTTTTAAATGTAGTGTTGCTATTATTAAAACTATCACGTGATCGTAAGGGTGTGTATGTCTTCATAATAATCTCCACAAGCCACTACATGCATGTGGTTCATAATAGTTTCCTGCTCAAGAGGCAGCAATTGAACCCCCAATGCTCCCTAGTGGAGCGTAGTTGATAATCTAATACATGCACAAGGCAAACATAACATCGCAACACTTGAGGTTACTATTATTAGAGTTCACACCCTGATATATTCATGCTTATTGGAATGGTTTATGGCCGTATGTTTTATCTTTTGTTAAATCAAATTACTATTCATATCCTAATATGCACTATGAGAAGTGACAGAATAGAATAAGTATATACTGTAGACTTATTCTATTTGAGTTTTTGTTGATTTGTATGATCTCAGCTTTTAAATAAAAATGTTTTAATTGTATTTAGATTTTATTTCATAATATGTTTCTTTTACTTATGAGTTTTGTAAAGCAATTTGAATTTTTAAAGCTTTGACGTTGAAATATACTATATTAAAAAAAATGTGCCTTGCCTTGTTTTGATCTTATAGATGAGTACTCTTCACACCAATGCATGGAAAGCTTCAAACCCTATCATTGTATTTGTAACCAATTCTGATAAACCATTAATGTTTTCAGGCATTTATCTGAAATAAATCCAAACAAATGTAAGGATTTACTAAATCCTTATAAATGCACCATCTTTGGGTAATGGACTCAACCAAAGCAAGCACTCTATAAGTCTCCTGCATGTCTAAGTAACACGTCTAAACCCTTACAATCGGATTTTCTTGATGTATATATACACTGCAATTAATAGAGCTATGCTGCGTGTATGGATACAAATACAAGTTGGTTCTATTGGTCACTAAATAGAGTACATCTGGCGGTTTGTAAGTGAGGGTGTTTTTATTCTGATTGACTCTGGCCTTAAAGGAAATGGTGTCTCAATTCTCTGTCCACTCTGAAGCAAACACTGGGCACACATTTTTAAAGCACTCTTGTCAAAACAAGGCACTTCCATTCGGTCCAAACAACATTACTGTAGTATCAAACTTAGATGTAATAGTTGTCTTCTGTACACATTTTTATTTTTACAGCAGCATCAAGAGATAAAGTTCAAGAGGGATGAGACCGGGGTTCAATAGCTCTTATCGCTCTTTCTGTGCTTTGACCTTTCACTCTGCTTGTGCTTTTACAAACTGGTTAAATGGAAAGAAGAGTACTTGAAATGGCTTTTATTTT